CCCTATAAAAACTTATATTTGCAAAAAGAGTATATCAATAATAATACTAGATAGATATATATATAACATTAGAAACTGTTCTTGTTTTGTTTATTTGACCTACATGTGTGTATGACCTGACTACCTTTTTGTTTCGCATTCTACTTTTATATCATTTTATAGTTATACATCTCAACTATTCTTTTAAAAACAATCATTTTGGAGCCAGAAGCGCGTTTTCTCATATGGGGTATCATTTAACAAAGATTTAACGCCTTTTTGACTCTGAAAAGATGAAAATTGTGGCTCTGATTGCAATTTCGTTACGCTATTTTACACTTCTTTATAATGGTAAAACTATAAAATGATAAAAACGTAGAATACGAAAAAAGGGACGTGAGGTCATACATATATGTAGGTCAAATAAACAAAATAAAAAAAGTTTCTTATATTTAAAAATATGAGAAAATATGCTTCAAAAAAAAAAAAATAACTAGCCCGCATACAAACTAATGAAACTTCTTAATTTCTGTAATGAAATCTCAAAACTGAAGACGTAAAGAAGACACTACAGGTTTTCAATTCTCTATCTTAATTAGCTTGTAGCTTGCATGCAGAAATGGAAAGAAATGGAATGTATTATATGCTTCTCATTTCATTTCGTTAATTTCCATTTCCAACAAAATAAAATATGATACATGGGATTGCATTTTACACAATAAAACAATGAAACTTAACAATGAAAAGTTAATTATAATTGCTCCACAGTTTACAAAATGCATATAAAACAGGTTGGTCATGGAGCAAAGGGGACTGCTGAAAAGCAAGGGCTTGTAGATTGCAACCCCCTATAAAAACGTATATTTGCAAAAAGAGTATATCAATAATAATACTAGATAGATATATATATATATATATATAATATTAGAAACTGTTCTTGTTTTGTTTATTTGACCTACATTTGTGTATGACCTGACTACCTTTTTGTTTCGCATTCTACTTTTATATCATGTTATAGTTACTATTCTCAACTATTCTCAACTAGTCTTTTAAAAACAATCTTTTTTGGAGCCAGAAGCGCGTTTCCTCATATAGGGTATGCTCATATATTTTAGATATAAGAAATTGTTTTTATTTTTTGTTTATTTGACCTACATGTTTGAATGACCTGACTCCCTTTTTGTTTCATATTCTACTTGTTATCATTTTGTAGTTATACATCTCAACTAGTCCTTTAAAAAACAATCATTTTGGAGCCAGAATCGCGTTTTCTCATATGGGGGTATGCTCATATACTTTAAATATGAGAAACTGTTTTTATTTTGTTTATTTGACCTATATGTTTGAATGACCTGACTCCCTTTTTGTTTCATATTCTACTTTTGTATCATTTTATAGTTATACATCTCAACTATTCTTTTAAAAAACAATCATTTTTGGAGCCAGAAGCGCGTTTTCTCATATGGGGTATCATTTAACAAAGAGTTAAATCCTTTTTGACTCTGAAAAGATGAAAATTGTGGCTCTGAATGCAATTTCGTTACGCTATTTTACACTTCTTTATAATGGTAAAAATATAAAATAATAAAAACGTAGAATACGAAAAAAAGGGAAGTGAGGTCATACATATATGTAGGTCAAATAAACAAAATAAAAAAAGTTTCTCATATTTAAAAATATGAGAAAATATGCTTCAAAAAAAAAAAAAAACTAGCCTGCATAAAAACTAATGAAACTTCTTAATTTCTGTAATGAAATCTCAACACTGAAGACGTAGAGAAGACACTACAGGATTTCAATTCTCTATCTTAATTAGCTTGTAGCTTGCATGCAGAAATGGAAAGAAATGGAATGTATTATATGCTTCTCATTTTATTCTAGGAAGAAGACAACTTTAGACTGATTTGCAGTTTGCTCGACATTTATTCCGCTCCGAAACTAGGAGTCCTTTTCCTCAAAACATGTAAAGTAGGAAAGTCAAAGTAAAACAAGTAACATGCATAAAAGCAATAACAAAATCTTATAACCACAATAAAGAGGGTCCACCATAAACAATTCGACAATAATGTATAAACGTGATATGATTCAACAATCTTAAGGGTACATGTACCATGAGTGAAACTCACAATTGTAGGGATCTCCGGTCACGTGATCAGCGGAGGGATAGTAACTCCTTCCGATCACCCCAGGTCCCTGGGGTTTACGTGACCTGCCGGTAGGATAGTATCTCCTACGGATGATCCCCACAACTTTTCAATACTCACAAAATCATCAATGCATAACTAACATAGTTATGGAAACACTATATTTGTGGGATCTCGAGTCACGCGATCAGCGGAAGGATAGTAATTCCCTCCGATCACCCCAGGTCCCTGGGGTTTACGTGACCTGCCGGTAGGATAGTATCTCCTACGGATGATCCCCACAACTTTTCAATACTCACAAAATCATCAATGCATAACTAACATAGTTATGGAAACACTATATTTGTGGGGTCTCGAGTCACGCGATCAGCGGAAGGGTAGTAACTCCCTCCGATCACCCCAGATACCTGGGGTTTACGTGACCCACCGACAGGATAGTATCTCCTGCAGTATCCCCAATGTTATCCCGGTGCTACTATACCAGCGCATATATAAGAAGTGGTGATAATCGGAACCAACCATGGAATAATCACGAGTAAAAGAAATCCTCCCCCAGTCAACCCCCGTGTTACCATGATATTAAGTACATACAATTCGTTATATCACTCAAAACAACATTGTACTTCCAATTTGTTAATCCTCAATCAACTTTAAGTAGTTTACTTCTTCAACTCTACTTAAACTAAAGAGGGGTGGGTGGGCCGGGGAAAAAGGACTTCTCCGAGCGGAGATAAAGTCGAAAGTGAGAAAATCTTGCACACGGCGTTCCCACGCTTACTGCGCGCATAACTCCACCGTTGTAGATTCACTGGCTGTGCGCATTTTCGGTTTCTTTACAGAGGTAAATTTCACATGTCGCTGTCTCACAAAGGCACCGCTTAAACAGCTGTAAAAGGCGCGCGCTATTTCTGGCCTATGCCAGCAATTGTTTTGTCTATCCTTGACTCTCCCAGAATGACTCTGATCATTTATTATGATCACGTTATTCTAGGAAGAAGACAACTTTAGACTGATTTGCAGTTTGCTCGACATTTATTCCGCTCCGAAACTAGGAGTCCTTTTCCTCAAAACATGTAAAGTAGGAAAGTCAAAGTAAAACAAGTAACATGCATAAAAGCAATAACAAAATCTTATAACCACAATAAAGAGGGTCCACCATAAACAATTCGACAATAATGTATAAACGTGATATGATTCAACAATCTTAAGGGGACATGTACCATGAGTGAAACTCACAATTGTAGGGATCTCCGGTCACGTGATCAGCGGAGGGATAGTAACTCCTTCCGATCACCCCAGGTCCCTGGGGTTTACGTGACCTGCCGGTAGGATAGTATCTCCTACGGATGATCCCCACAACTTTTCAATACTCACAAAATCATCAATGCATAACTAACATAGTTATGGAAACACTATATTTGTGGGATCTCGAGTCACGCGATCAGCGGAAGGATAGTAATTCCCTCCGATCACCCCAGGTCCCTGGGGTTTACGTGACCTGCCGGTAGGATAGTATCTCCTACGGATGATCCCCACAACTTTTCAATACTCACAAAATCATCAATGCATAACTAACATAGTTATGGAAACACTATATTTGTGGGGTCTCGAGTCACGCGATCAGCGGAAGGGTAGTAACTCCCTCCGATCACCCCAGATACCTGGGGTTTACGTGACCCACCGACAGGATAGTATCTCCTGCAGTATCCCCAATGTTATCCCGGTGCTACTATACCAGCGCATATATAAGAAGTGGTGATAATCGGAACCAACCATGGAATAATCACGAGTAAAAGAAATCCTCCACCCACATTTTTTTTTTTTTTTTTTTTTTTTTTGTGGGGGGGGGGGGGGGGGGGTTGGGCGTGGTTTGCCATGGTTGCTTCCTAATACCATCTATGGACCCATGCTGTTTCACTAAATATTAATATGACATGTATCATACTTCATGTATTTCTCATGGATTCAATCCGTTACATATTGTAATCTTATATTATTATTCTTGCTGCTAGCCAGACAGTGATAGAGGCGAAAACCCGACAATATTGCCATTGTGGCTTAATTTAACGAGCAAAATAATTATATTTCCTTTGTCGGGGAAAATTCCCCTATGGCCCACTTTGTAGTTCTGAAGCTACTGTGCGACCGAGTGACTCTGACTCCACCCTCTGCTAGCTTACAATTATGTATGATGTATACTAGTACATCAAAATCAATCATTAATTTAAATATGGTTCTAATTTATCAGCAATTAAATAAATTTCAAATTTAATGTGAATCCCAAAAATGAAGGCGTATATATCTGAATATGTAACTCACGTTACAACACGCTATTCCTCAACTTCTTGTGTTATAATAATTCCATTATCACATCGAACCCAGTCTGTCCGAAATTCCACAAGGCTCATTAATAGCCGAATTAGTGTTATTGTCCCGTTTCCGTGAATATAAATATTCTATTCATATATACCCAAGCCCGAGTCTATTCCTTCTTGGAAATTATCGATGAAAGCGTCGGATCCTCTGTCGGACAGGTGTACCCCATCTCTTAAAAATAAACTGTAATTGGATGGATCCAACTAATGAGCAATAACTGACGCATTCGGCAGCCGGGCTATTAATCTCCTCGCGTACTTGTTGAGCGATTTCCTGACCCCATCCATGGCGTCTTGTAATGTTCGATAACCACGACTGCTATGATAGAATAGACGTGGGATGATGGTCGACCAGGCGATGTGCGTACGAGGCATGGCTGTCCGTAAAATTTGAAGAGCCATATCGATCGCGATTCTGCATTGGCAGGCATCATTCAGGCCCAAGTTATTTGTTCCTAAATGCACGATTACTAGCGCAGGTGCTCGTTGGTTGTATCTCAACCTATTCTCCACCAGGCGCGGAAGGTCTTGTAACGTCGCTCCTCCCTGACCGTGCCATTGGACCGTCCCTCTTGCTCTTCCCAAATCTTGGTGGTTGAGCATGATTGTTCGCCCTCTGCTTGGCACGTCTGACCAAGCTGTCGCCTACGATCCAGATCCTGTCGCCGGTTGTCTCTGAAACAGGATGGAAAAACTCCCCAAAGTAATGTGTTCTATATTCATATTCATATCATCATACACGTGGGCTACTTATTCTCCCACTTATAATTTACTATGAAAATATGTGATAGTAGGTTTCCATTAAAAGGAAAAAGGAAGGAATAATCGTTCCTCTGTGTTACATGTAAAACCTACCAGCGATGGGGGTTACGACAATATTAATGATTGGGGGAGCCTAATCAGGATAGTAACTCCTGGTTGATCCTCCAGTCCCATTCTGGTTATTAACATGAGCACTTCACATAATTGATCTGCACATTGTATACTTTGTGTCGTGTTCAACTTTTGTGTGTAAAGCGGCATGCCTATCTAGAGCATTGCCCTGACCGGTAATTAAATTCATAGCATTCTCCGCCACGAAAGTTTTGTGCCCGAAATGGCGCCCTTCCCTTATTCATATTGGGTGTGAACTTTATTGTGCTCGACCCCCGGGGTGTGGCCCATTCCCGCTTGGTTGCCCACGATCCCTATTGGGTTTGGGGGCGGTCTTGTATCCGCCCCTGGCAATAGCGCCTGACTGAATCGATTGCCCGACACTGCTTGCCCGTGTGGGAGGATGGGCTTCATTATCCCTCAAATTATGACTAGCTCTAGGCCTAGTGTCACTCTCGTTGTGTGTAATTTGTAATTGAAAGCCAGCGTATAGGCTACCGGTGTTTGGTACAATCGAGGGGAAGGAAACCACCAAGTTGCTTTCCCTCTCGCTTCCAAGATTGTTAAATCTATGTCTTGTTGTTTCACTAAATTGTGATATTTCTGGTAAATGTGATTGCATAGCTACGTCTACCTCACCTTGCATTGGCTGTGCATGTGAAGGCGGCTGGCTTGATGACTGGTTCGCTCCAGTTGTCTCGTTTCCACTGTATTGTGGTCCGTCAGTCTCCGGAGCCGGGTTTATGCTGGTAGTGGCTGAGCGTCCACTGTTGGGGTTACCGCTCGAGTGCCTCGCCCGTTTTGGCCGCCCCGCCCGCCGGGGAGTTGAGGTGCCGAGTACGTCTTGAGTGGTGTCGTTGCTAGACTGCCTTAATCTTGTAGACTGTCTAGGCCTAGCAATCTTTGGTTGGCGGGCCACCCGGCTCTGGCTTGATTTCCGCTTTCCCATCTTTCGATATACTGGGATTTCCTCTCGTTATTTAGACTTATCTGTATACTCAATTGTAGAGCCTTCTCGAAAAAGGACTTCTCCGAGCGGAGATAAAGTCGAAAGTGAGAAAATCTTGCACACGGCGTTCCCACGCTTACTGCGCGCATAACTCCACCGTTGTAGATTCACTGGCTGTGCGCATTTTCGGTTTCTTTACAGAGGTAAATTTCACATGTCGCTGTCTCACAAAGGCACCGCTTAAACAGCTGTAAAAGGCGCGCGCTATTTCTGGCCTATGCCAGCAATTGTTTTGTCTATCCTTGACTCTCCCAGAATGACTCTGATCATTTATTATGATCACGTTATTTCGTTAATTTCCATTTCCAACAAAATAAAATATGATACATGGGATTGCATTTTACACAATAAAACAATGAAACTTAACAATGAAAAGTTAATTATAATTGCTCCACAGTGTACAAAATGCATATAAAACAGGTTGGTCATGGAGCAAAGGGGACTGCTGAAAAGCAAGGGCTTGTAGATTGCAACCCCCTATAAAAACGTATATTTGCAAAAAGAGTATATCAATAATAATACTAGATAGATATATATATATATAGATAATATTAGAAACTGTTCTTGTTTTGTTTATTTGACCTACATGTGTGTATGACCTGACTACCTTTTTGTTTCGCATTCTACTTTTATATCATGTTATAGTTACTATTCTCAACTATTCTCAACTAGTCTTTTAAAAACAATCTTTTTTGGAGCCAGAAGCGCGTTTCCTCATATAGGGTATGCTCATATATTTTAGATATGAGAAACTGTTTTTATTTTGTTTATTTGACCTACATGTTTGAATGACCTGACTCCCTTTTTGTTTCATATTCTACTTGTTATCATTTTGTAGTTATACATCTCAACTAGTCTTTTAAAAAACAATCATTTTGGAGCCAGAAGCGCGTTTTCTCATATGGGGGTATGCTCATATATTTTAAATATGAGAAACTGTTTTTATTTTGTTTATTTGACCTACATGTTTGAATGACCTGACTCCCTTTTTGTTTCATATTCTACTTTTGTATCATTTTATAGTTATATATCTCAACTATTCTTTTAAAAACAATCATTTTGGAGCCAGAAGCGCGTTTTCTCATATGGGGTATCATTTAACAAAGAGTTAACGCCTTTTTGACTCTGAAAAGATGAAAATTGTGGCTCTGATTGCAATTTCGTTATGCTATTTTACACTTCTTTATAATTGTAAAAATATAAAATAATAAAAACGTAGAATACGAAAAAAAGGGAAGTGAGGTCATACATATATGTAGGTCAAATAAACAAAATAAAAAAAGTTTCTCATATTTAAAAATATGAGAAAATATGCTTCAAAAAAAAATAATAACTAGCCTGCATAAAAACTAATGAAACTTCTTAATTTCTGTAATGAAATCTCAACACTGAAGACGTAGAGAAGACACTACAGGATTTCAATTCTCTATCTTAATTAGCTTGTAGCTTGCATGCAGAAATGGAAAGAAATGGAATGTATTATATGCTTCTCATTTCATTTCGTTAATTTCCATTTCCAACAAAATAAAATATGATACATGGGATTGCATTGTACACAATACAACAATGAAACTTAACAATGAAAAGTTAATTATAATTGCTTATATTTGCAAAAAGAGTATATCAATAATAATAATAGATAGATATATAATAATAATAATAATAATAATAATAATAATAATAATAATAATAGCCTAATAGTCCACTCCAAATTTTATTAAACCGAAACGGAAATTCTTTTTGCCCAATTGATCGTGAGCCCGGCAGCCACTGAGCAGCGCCAGATCGACGTTGCTCTATCCCTTATTGTTGAACGCCAAACAAGGTAGCAACAACTCCCATCTTTTAACGTCTTTTGGTATGACGCGGCCGGGGTTCGAACCCACGACCTCCCGGTTGTGAGGCGGACGCTCTACTGACTGAGCCAACACTAGTATTATACACTTATATATACATAATATTAGAAACTGTTCTTGTTTTGTTTATTTGACCTACATGAGTGTATGACCTGACTACCTTTTTGTTTCGCATTCTACTTTATATCATTTTATAGTTACTATTCTCAACTATTCTTTAAAAAAAAACTTTTTAGAGCCAGAAGCGCGTTTCCTCATATGGGGTATCTTCTAACAAAGAGTTAACGCCTTTTTTACTCTGAAAAAGATGAAAAATTGTGGCTCTGATCGCAATTTCGTTATGCTATTTTACACTTCTTTATAATGGTAGAACTATAAAATGATTTTTTTTTTTAAATTAGAATGCAAAAACAAAAAGGGAGTGAGGTCATATATACATGTAGGTCAAATAAACAAAATAAAAACAGTTGTTCATACTTAAGAATATGAGAAAACATGTTTTACCAACACCTTTTCTGTACGCAGTGTACTATTATTTATTGATTTTTCTTTTTAATTTACAGTCAAACCTGTCTTTGTGGCCACCTCTCAAAAGTGGCCACTTTTTTAGTTTGCCTTAGGTGGCCTTAAAGTTATAGACCAGTTTTGGAAACGCCCCCCTGTCATAAAATGAAATGGAAGCTCGTATTACCAATCATGTGAAAGAATATGTTTTGAATATTACATGACGATAAAAGTTTTAACGGGAAACCGCCTACTAATTGATATATTTGGTAAATTAGTATATCTCTTGCCTGTTGAGAGATACAAATGCACGTGTCACGCACGTGTGTGTAGTCCCATAAACATCTTTCTGTGTACAGTGCTTCTAACTTTATAAAGACTTGGTCAAATTTCTTATAATTTTTATGATTCCAGAACCTTGCAGTACATCTATGCTAGATGATAAACCTTTTCTGATCGATTTCACAACGTTTCTTTCACTATGCAATTGCATGACCATAACTGGTCTTCAGCTTTAAAGTGGTAGTAATTATATATTATTATTACTAATATACTTCTAATACTACTACTAGTAGTAGTAGTAGTAGTAGTAGTAATAATGATGATGATGATGAAAATGATAATAATAAAACAATATTAACAATAATAATATTGATTATAATGATAATAACTATAATATTGAATTGCATAATAATAGGAGGAATAAAAAACAATAAAGCAATATATTACAAAAAATAGGAAGGAGTAGAAGAGTAACAGAATAATTCCGGCCTTTACTCTACTATAGTCTTACAAAGTGGTAAAAAAGAGATATATTCAACAATCCCCCTTCCATACTTTCATCATTTTATAGTTATACATCTCAACTAATCTTTTAAAAACAATTTTTTTTTGGAGCCAGAAGCGCGTTCCCTCATATAGGGTATGCTCATATATTTTAAATATGAGAAACTGTTTTTATTTTGTTTATTTGACCTACATGTTTGAATGACCTGACTCCCTTTTTGTTTCGCATTCTACTTTTGTATAATTTTATAGTTATACATCTCAACTATTCTTTTAAAAACAATCATTTTGGAGCCAGAAGCGCGTTTTCTCATATGGGGTATCATTTAACAAAGAGTTAACGCCTTTTTGACTCTGAAAAGATGAAAATTGTGGCTCTGATTGCAATTTCGTTACGCTATTTTACACTTCTTTATAATTGTAAAAATATAAAATAATAAAAACGTAGAATACGAAAAAGAGGAAGTGAGGTCATACATATATGTAGGTCAAATAAACAAAATAAAAAAAGTTTCTCATTATTTAAAAATATGAGAAAATATGCTTCAAAAAAAAAAAAAAATAACTAGACCGCATAAAAACTAATGAAACTTCTTAATTTCTGTAATGAAATCTCAACACTGAAGACGTAGAGAAGACACTACAGGATTTCAATTCTCTATCTTAATTAGCTTGTAGCTTGCATGCAGAAATGGAAAGAAATGGAATGTATTATATGCTTCTCATTTCATTTCGTTAATTTCCATTTCCAACAAAATAAAATATGATACATGGGATTGCATTGTACACAATACAACACTGAAACTTAACAATGAAAAGTTAATTATAATTGCTTATATTTGCAAAAAGAGTATATCAATAATAATAATAGATATATAATAATAATAATAATAATAATAATAATAATAATAATAATAGCCTAATAGTCCACTCCAAATTTTATTAAACCGAAACGGAAATTCTTTTTGCCCAATTGATCGTGAGCCCGGCAGCCACTGAGCAGCGCCAGATCGACGTTGCTCTATCCCTTATTGTTGAACGCCAAACAAGGTAGCAACAACTCCCATCTTTTAACGTCTTTTGGTATGACGCGGCCGGGGTTCGAACCCACGACCTCCCGGTTGTGAGGCGGACGCTCTACTGACTGAGCCAACACTATTATTATACGCTTATATATACATAATATTAGAAACTGTTCTTGTTTTGTTTATTTGACCTACATGAGTGTATGACCTGACTACCTTTTTGTTTCATATTCTACTTTTGTATCATTTTATAGTTATACATCTCAACTATTCTTTTAAAAAACAATCATTTTGGAGCCAGAAGCGCGTTTTCTCATATGGGGTATCATTTAACAAAGAGTTAACGCCTTTTTGACTCTGAAAAGATGAAAATTGTGGCTCTGATTGCAATTTCGTTACGCTATTTTACACTTCTTTATAATGGTAAAACTATAAAATGATAAAAACGTAGAATACGAAAAAGGGAAGTGAGGTCATACATATATGTAGGTCAAATAAACAAAATAAAAAAAGTTTCTCATATTTAAAAATATGAGAAAATATGCTTCAAAAAAAAATAATAACTAGCCCGCATAAAAACTAATGAAACTTCTTAATGTCTGTAATGAAATCTCAACACTGAAGACGTAGAGAAGACACTACAGGTTTTCAATTCTCTATCTTAATTAGCTTGTAGCTTGCATGCAGAAATGGAAAGAAATGGAATGTATTATATGCTTCTCATTTCATTTCGTTAATTTCCATTTCCAACAAAATAAAATATGATACATGGGATTGCATTGTACACAATACAACAATGAAACTTAACAATGAAAAGTTAATTATAATTGCTCCACAGTGTACAAAGGGCATATAAAACAGGTTGGCCATGGAGCAAAGGGGACTGCTGAAAAGCAAGGGCTTGTAGATTGCAACCCTCTATACAAACTTATATTTGCAAAAAGAGTATATCAATAATAATACTAGATATATATATATATATGTATATATATATATATATATACTATTAGAAACTGTTCTTGTTTTGTTTATTTGACCTACATGTGTGTATGACCTGACTATCTTTTTGTTTCGCATTCTTCTTTTATATCATTTTATAGTTACTATTCTCA